CAAAAATCACAAAACCTAGAAAAATTACACGGGCCCTTGCAATACTTTTTCTAAACTTGGTATTATTTGTAATCCTGTAGAGTATACAAAACTCATCTGCAATGAGGCATTCATAGGAGCAATTCAAATGCATTTAAAAATCTCTGCCACATTGTATTGAGCCACATAGTTGTGTAACCAGATTAGTCTGATACAACATTGACTTACTGATGAATATGTGTAGGAGTTTTGTCTCTAGAACGCTTGCTTCTGCAGGCATGTCTCCGTGCTGGTGGCCATTTTGCTGGAACTGACAGATTTTGTCAGGACAAGGGGCATCGGGTACACTAAGAAACACTCTAGCAGGTGGGGGGTGTAACCCACGGCTTCCCACTCCCAGTGCTTTGTGTGCAGTACTGTCACCACTTTATACCCACAAACACAAGAATTTTGATCAGATGCTGTTTGGGTAATTCCCGTCAGAAGAAAAGACGATATAAGATGTGTTTATATACAGTTAATTTTAACTATTTTCCTAACGAGAGAGAACTGTTTGGGCCAGACCTTGGTGAGAGCCAAGTCCCGTGCTGGCAATTCTTTGGAAGAATCTCCTGCAGTCTAGCTTCTGGCTCAGTGTATTTAAAACCCACTTTCCCTCCCCTCCCACATACCTCCAGTGGTGGGCGCTGCAGGCCATCCACTCGGCAATGAACTGCTCAGGCTGCACCTGTGAGTCCTGGGCTCTAAGTGGGGAGTGTTCCTGGAAGCCATTTCTACACAGGGTGGCTGCAGACACAAGCAGTGAGCTACAGAAGTGTAGCCCCCAAGCCCAAATTAAACACTTCCCCAATTCAACTTCCTCTTAGTTGGATCCCCAGAATGTCCACAGCTACTCAAACATCACCCAACAAAGGGAAAATCAAATGAAGAAGCTGGATTGGAAAGAGGCAGAGGTCAACCGGTTGTGGTTGACCTATTTTACTTTTACGTATATTACAGAAGTGTTTGGCTGTAGGAACAGGTTGCTAGCCAGCCCCAACCCCCTACCCCCAGGAAAGGGAGGCCCATGCTTGTGGGGAGGGTGTGTGGCTGGAAGCCTCATGGGCACCTCAGACTATGCATTCCCAGCCTGGAACCAGGGGCAGGTGAGACCATCCATGTGGGCCACAGGATGTTATTTGTGGCCTGAGGACACGTGCCAGAGCTGGAGTCCCAACTCTGTCCCCAAGCATTCCTGGCCCACAAGTGCCCCTGAAAACGGGGATGATGAAGCCACCTCCCACGATCACGCTCAGGTTTAAAGAGGATTTGCTACATCTCCTGGTAAGTCGAGCACAAGGCAAATGCCAGCTGTTCTCCTAGGGGCAGTGTCACAGCAATCTCCCTCTTTGGGTCCAGAAGGGACGGATCTACCTTTTTAAAACAGAAGGTCATGTTATGACCCCTACTGGAATGAGCCAAGCCCTGTCCTTGGAAATCAGGGTAATCTGCTGAGGCCACTCCTGTCACCTCCTCCCTGCTGTCAGGTGGGCAGGGGATTAGAGGAGAGGGCACCGGATTAACGAGCTCACTTTGTTCCAACCTCCCCGCCCAGCCAGCAGGAGCCTGGGGCCAGGGAGGGCGGCCCCTCTGTTGGCTTTTCTCTGTGGGGCATGGAGGAGCCTCTGCCCTCTCCAGCTCTGCAGCCAGGACCGTACTGAACGCTGGAGAGCCCCAGGCCCTCCAGGACCTGGAAGGCAGAAGGCTTGGTGGCATCCTAAGGAGCTGGGGGTTAGACAGCAGAGGCTGCTCTTTCCCGTGCTGGACCAGCCCAGGTGCGATGCCCAGAGTCCCCAGGTCCCAGCCAGACCCCAGCTCCCCGCCACTGCAGGATGCCCTGCCACCAGTGGCCCGGGGCCTTGGCCTCCCTGCCAAAGACGTGCTCACCCTGTGCCTGCTTCTGTTCAGCGCCTCCCTGCCCCCCACGCAGGGGCAGACCAAGATTCCTCTGGAAACGTAAGCATTGAGTTCAGCTCCCACCCCATGAAACCCTTTGCCCTTTTCTCCCTTCCTTCCCTCTGGCAGACCTCAACCCCCTGCCTGCCCACCTCTGACTTCCTTGGGGCCCCTCCAAGGGGCTTCCACTGCCTACCTGCCCTTTCTGGCTATGAACACCTTTGCTTCAGCCTCCTCTCTTCCCAAAAGCACTCCCACCTGGGCAGTCCCACCTGCGGCTCCCCAGACACCTGATGGCTTAAGCAGAGCTGATGGTCAGGGCCCTCCCTCATCAGGAGGCAAGCAGTGCCTGGAGCACCTGCTGTGCAGATGCTCCTTCCAGAACAATCCCTGTGACCAGGCGACTGGGAGCGGGGCCTGTGTCGGCTCAGAACGTCACCTTGGCTCCCCAAGGAGTGACTGGGAGACATGGGCAAAGCAATCTGAACCAACAAAACAGCTTGTGCAGCCAGCAACTTGGTAAAAATCAGACTTTGTGGTCTCAGCCTTCCCTCCCGTGCCTCCCTGCCTCTTTCCAGGCCCCAATTCTACAGCTCGTCATTAAGACTGGGAAAGCATCTGATAACAGTCATTTACACTGTAGTGTAAATTGTGATTACTGTGCGACGTTTCGGGGGTGTCTGTTCTTTAGTCCTTAGCTCGCGTGGTCCTATTAAAGAAATTTCCAGTACATTAAGGGAATAGAGCACTCTAGTCTAAAGGGGGCTGCTTGCTCAGTGCATATCCAAGCTCAGCATGATGGTTAGGCCACCAGAGTCAACTGTCAGCCTCATGTCTTAACAGAAGTGAGGACAGGGATCTTGGACAACACACCATGTTTGTGTTTAGCTTTGTTGAGTGGGGGACTTGAGCAGCACTGTTGCCGTCTGGTTGTATTACCTCTGCTTTCTACATGCCCAGCTTGATGTTCAGTGCCTACAAGTAGTGTCTTTGCTCCACACAGCAGTTCAGTGAGGTGGGGAACAGTAACCTATTCTGCATTTGAGGAAGCAAGCCTGGAGTTGGGTCTCCCCAAGTTCATGTAGTGAGTAAATGAAGTGTTGGAATCTGATCTCGAGTCAGCCTGGCCTGCACTTCCCTGTTACATGAAGCTGTCTAGTAGGGCCAGGCCATAAGACTATCTGTTGCTGAAGGAGATGCTGAGCATAATTTTCACCCCCAGAACACACAGCAGCTAATAGTAGGAGAACTCCAGGAACAGGCTGAGTGCCAAGCAAACATGGCTGGGATCCAGGTCTTGGTAGAAGGGAGCCGCACTGTGGACCAGCTCCACACAAACTTGGAGAGAGCTGGCTGCAGTGGGGGGCCCCCGTGCTGCACCACCCGCTGACCCCGCACCCTTCTCTCCCACTGAATGCCTCTTGAAACTGCCCACTTGCAGCCCACCTCCTCTTGGTGTCCAGCCACTCAGCCCTCAGCCCCCACACATGCCCAGGCTTCCGCCTGCCCCTGAGACTGTTGGTATTCCCCAGGGCTCGCCACAGGTCTTACGCTAGACACTCCCCTTGAGAGACCATCTACCCTCAAAATTTCACCTCCCACCCATGTACTAATGGCTCTTAGCCCTGCCTCTACCCATTGGCTTCACATACCATTGCCTATGCATGGCTCTTCCTGAATATCATGTGAGGTTTTGAATTCAGGTTTGTGACTTCCAACAAACAACATGATTGGTACTTTCTGGAATTGTGCAGTGTGCAACCTGCCCATTGGCACAAGGTAGCCCTGTGTCAGGAACCTCACATTCTATGCAACCCTGCTTACATTCATTACCTTCCACCCTCCCTGACTTCTTCTTTATAATCTTAATTTTTTTAAGTAGTAACACCATCCCCTCAACCATCTGAGCTGGAAACATGGAAGTCATTTTTGACTCCTCCAAGCTCTTCTATACCCAGAATTCTCTTTCAATTTGCTTTTTTGGCCTAACCTCTCCCAAACTTCTAACACAGAAGTCAGATGCCTCCTCTCCCAGGAAGCCGTCTAGCACACCACTGCCCATCCCGAGCTCTGTCAATGCCCCTTCAAACATGTAAAATGCTTTCTGTGTATGAAGAGGTGTCCCTCCAACTGAGGGTTTCACAACAGCCAGACTATGGTATGGCTCCAGTGCTGTGTACAGCGCCTGGCACGTAGCAGGGCCTCAGTGATCATGGGCTGACTGAATGAATGATGGTTTCCACACAGTTGCACAGACAGACACCTTTTGCCCCATCTGGAGAGGCTTGAGGCTTGGACACGGGCCTGTATGCTGAGCTTCAGGCCCCCACCACCTCCAGATGTCGGGACACCTGCCCTTCTGGGTTCCTCAGCTGGGCCGCCTGCCCACCAAGGGAGCAGTGGCCTCCTCAGGCCCTCCCTGCCTGGCATGCCCTCACCTCTGCCGAAACCACTCAAGGCCTTTTCCTCTGTCCCCTCTCCTCATGCTGCCTCTGAGGCTTTAGCAGAGGATCCAGGCTATGCTGACTTTGAGCAGGACATCCTTTAGGGAACAGCTGCTTGAGAAGCTGCCACTAGGCGTAGTGGTTCCTTTTTCCATGTTTGGGGTCCAGCTGCTCTGGCCTGGGCCTGGCCACTGCCTCTTCCCCTCCTCCCTCCTCCCCTTTCTCCACCCACAAACCAGAATCCTTGGGGGCTTGGGGACAGGAGCTGAGAACCCAGAACCAAAGCCTGACTCTGGGCTCGCCAGCCCCGGGCCCGGCCCTCAGCTGCCACTGAGCTCCCGGTGGGGCCTCTGAGTGTCCTGCCCTGGTCAGAAAGGACAGTAGCTCCTTGTGTGTGTTTTTCTGGGTATATGTCAGTGTGTATGCATTTGCATGTGTACATGTGTGATGTGTGACCATGCATATGTATGCACAGCTCTGTGTATTATGTGTGTCTGTGTGCTTGTGTGTAATTGTGCATCTGTGCACAGACATTTGCTTTCTATTTGCATGAGTGTGTGTGCATATCTGTGAGCATCTATGCACGTGTCTCTGGATCTGTATGTGTGCACATGAGTACACATGTTCTTTCATCACTGGCAGAGTGAAGCTATGGGCAGACATCTTCGGCGGGGACTTGTATAGCACGGTGACCAAATACTCGGGCTCTCTTTTGCTGCAGAAGGTCAGTCCCCTGCTTCCAGGAGCTCCCAACGGGGTCAGAGGGTAGTTAGCTGCGACTCCCTCCTGGTTGAGAAGAGTGCCTGATGCCCATGCTACCAGGAGTCTTGGAGATCAACTAATCCAACCTCCTCATTTTTCAGATGGGAAACTAAGGCCCAGGGAAGGGACTGATTTGCCCAAGTCACAGAGCATGTCACTGGGGAGTCAGTACCACAGGGTGGCCACAAGAATGGTGTCTGCTCAGATCCCTGGGGAAGCCAATGCCAGGCAGAATTAGCTGGGCAAGAGATTTGTGGGGCAGGGGTAGGAGTGGCTGTGGAGAACAAAGTAGAGAGGGGACAGGAGTGAACAGGCTGGGCTGCAGCCTGAACCCAAGACCCTGTGACCCAGAAGGGAGAGGAAGGGGAGGCCCGAGTGAAGCCCAGACGCCCCTGGGAGAGGCCAGCAGGAGGGCTGTGGGTGGGAGCAGGTGCAGCTTCGGGCCTCTGCATGGGGAGACCTCTCCAGGCCTCCGGTGCTCAGGAGTCCCAGCCTCACAGGGCCTGGAAGGCTCCCGCAGGGGCCTGAGGCCTGATCCATGCCCGGGTGCCTGGGCAAGGGGCACATAGGTTGATGTGCTGGCCCCACATGCTCTCATTTATCGATGGCTTTATGAGCAGACTGACACTTAGCTTGTCCATAAACCTCATTTCCTTCTAATATCTACACCTCCCAGACCAGTGTTAATAGCAACTTACCATTCTTTATTATTATGTTAGCTTTATAGTCACGATTTAATTCTCACCACAACCTCATGAGGGGAGCACCCTCTTCACCAATTTTTAAATGTTGCTAAAAGCAAATCCTAGGCTTTTGCACCTGCACAGCCACCCTGCAGCCCCCTCATCACGGGAGGAGCCAGGGTGAGCCACCCCCTCCTGAGCCCCACAGGCTGCAGGGCTGGCAGCTCAGACCCACCTCCACTCACGCCGCAGGAGCTCCTATACTGTGAAGCACCATTTCACATGTGCCTCCAACCACAGGTGAGGAGAGCAGAGCAATGATTATGAGCTGTTTGGGGTAAAAGCCTTCTAGAAGTCTATGTATTCTAGAGGAATCTCTAAAGCCATGCACATGTCACATCTCACCGTTCAGGAAACTGAGTAACTGGCCTAAGGTCACATGGCAATAGGTTGTGAGCTGGGTCATTAGCCTTCATGAACACAAGGTGAGAGATTGTCTCCCTCAGGCCCAAAGAGTAACTTGAACCCAGATCTCTTCACTCTCCTGGGCCCCCTAGCAGTTTCTCAGGCTGTGTGGACACCTGCCGCTGCTGGCAGAGCCCATGCAGTGAGAACTGCAGTTCATACAGACGTGAGCAGGGCACACTGATGCCACAGGGCATGGGGAGAATGAAGGGATGTGTCACAGTCCACCAGAGCAGCCCAGAGAAGCAGCATGACACACACAGGTCATGGAGTCTGGGAGACCTGCTCCCTCCCGTGTATCCCGCTCACTGGCTGTGTGACCTTGGTCCCGGGCAATGGTCTCTCTGAGCCTCAATGTACTCCCTCCTAAGGATATCGACTGAAAATGGGTCCACAGCGCTCAAATAGAGATAAGCGGCACCTAGAACGTTATTGGGGAGGGGAGGGCTGTTCTCAGCTTTGGTCAAGCAAATGAGACCGTGGGCAGGACGGCACCTGCTGGGGAGACACAGGCCGCGCGAGCCCGGACGGGGCAGCAGGTGCCATCTCTCCCTTCCCCGAAACAGGAGTACAAGGACGTGGAGCCCAGGCTGGGGATCAAGGAGGTGAACGGCTTGGTGCTGGTGAGGAAGTTCTCAGAGGACATGGAGACAATGCTACGCAGGAAAGTGGAGGCAATCCAGGTGCTCCAGGTCCCGTGGTCTTTGTGGGTCCACCCCAGTCCCGGGGGAGGAAATCCTCGCGAAGGAGGAAATTATGGGAGGCAGAGCAGAGAGGAGAGGACTAGGATTTGAGCTTGCCCAATAGAGTGTTAAGAGGGCCTCTGCATCAGGACCTGATATTCAGGGCTGTATGCCTCAGCGAGGAGTGAGGGTCAGGGGTCACCTGCTGAGTGAATCGATGGAGGGGCTGCGGTGAGGATGGTGGGCAGACCGGCAGGAGCGGGAGCAGCACAGCTGGCTGCAGAGGGTGCAGAGCAGAGCTCTCTCGCCCCGAGCCACTCCCCAGCCCTCCGGCTCCTCTCCCGCGCTCTGCCCTCCCATGGCGGGGACCCAGCCTCCCCGGTGCCCAAAGGCTGTGAGGGCTGCGCAGCAGAGGTCCTCACCGTGACAGGCCTCGAGCTCAGGCAGTTCTGTTGCTGGGCACCCGCCAGCCCAGCTGGGCCTAGCAGAAACAGAATGTCATGTCCCTGGCCTGAAGTGTCTGCCCTGGACACCTGTGGCGACCTGGCTGGTTAGAGACAGTTCCTGCCTACACTAGTCAGAAGTCCGGCCCTGGGAGACCAGTGTCATCCCCAAAACGACTCCCTCTGGGGTCCAGGAGAACAGGGAAGCGGGGATGGGACCGGGATGGTGACTGTGCGGGAGAGGCTGAGGTCAGCACTGGGACAGTTGGGGAAGCTGGCAACTTGCAACCAGCCCATGTGGCCTGTCTGCCCACCAAAACCCCCCCTCTGGGAGGATCCACTGTCAGAGCCTCTGGGTCCTTTCTGCCCACACGTTCTGATCTGTAGCCTCTTTTCTCCAGACTCAAGGGCAAGGGGTGTTAGCATCAGGAACCAGTGAGCAGGTACCTATGTCTAGAAAGCCCTCCTGGTCCCCAGCAGAAGGACCCTGACCTCACAGGCAGCCCGCACCACCTGCCTCCTTCCATCTGCAGTGCTGTTTAAACTCATCTCTTGGTGGAGCACAGCCAGAGGGATTCAGGGTGCACCACTGCCCACATGCTGGTCCCTGCACACTAGAGCATAGGCAGTCGAGGTCACCCTGCAGGCCCAGCCTCGGGGCTCCTGCGGCTCCTCCCTGTGTCATTCGCACCGCTTCAACGGGAGATCCCAACCAAATGAGCGCCTGCCTGTGGAACTTCTCCAGCACCATCCCTCCTCCCTGCTGGGGGTTCTGCGGGGGGCACAGCCGAGGGCCCTTCTATGCGAGTACCCATGGGGAAAGTTCCTGCAAAGCAGCACTAAAATGATTTTTGTTCTGTGGAATCTCTGTATCACATCCTAGGAACCAGGGACTGAGAGCAGGGTAGGTAAGGACTAGTCTACCCAATTCACAGTCGCATGAATAGAGACCCAGAGAGTCTTGGTGGCTCACCCTGGACAAAGCCAGAATAGGAGCTCAGGTCTTCTTTCTTTCCTCCAGATGTATTGAGTTGTAACTGATAATCAAAAATTGTATATATTTAAGGTGTGCAAACTGAGGACCCAATAGAAATGCACATTGGGAAATATTCACCGAACCAAGCCAATCAGCACGTCCATTGCCCCACAACTTACCCTTTCATGTATGTAAGGATGGTGATAACACCCAAGGTCTACCTCTTTGCAAGTTTCAAGTACACAAGACAATATTGTTGACTGAGTCACATTGATGTATGTCAGTTCCCCACAATTTATTCATCCTGCATACCTGAAATTTTGTGCCCCTTGGCCAACATCTTCCCATTTAGCCATTCCCCCAGCCCCTGGGAACCACCATCCCACTCTCTCTTTCTATGAGTTTGACAAGTACAGATTCCACATACAAATGAGATTATGCAATATTTGTCTTTTTTCATCTTGCTTATTTCACTTAGCATAATGTCTTCCAGATTCATCCATGCTGTTGCAAATGGAAGGATTTCTGTGTTTTTAAAGGCTGAATATTATTCTATCATACACACACACACACATAGTGGTATAGCTCACATTTTCTTTATCCATTCAGCTGTTGACCAGCAGTTGTTTCCATATCTTGATTATTGTGAATAATACTTCAATGAACATGGGCATGCAGATATCTTTTTGAGATCCTGACTTCATTTTTTTGGATATATACCCAGAAGTGGGATTGCTGTGTTAGTTCTATTTTTAATTTTTCAGAGAATCTCCATATTGTCTTCCATATGGTGGCACCAACTTAACATTCCCAACAATAGTGCATGAGGGTTCCTTTTTCTCCACATCCTCACCAACACTTGCAATCTTTTTTTATTAGAGTTCCCATATGCTCCCTGACCCCCCAGGCCATTCTAACAGGTGTGAGGTGATAACTCATTGTAGTTTCAATTTGTATTTCCCTGGTGATTTGTGAAGTTGAGCACCTTTTCATACATCTATTCGTCATTTATGTCTTCTTTGGAGAAATGTCTATTCAGGTACTTTAAACATATTTTGAATCAGATTATTTTTTCCATTTGAGTTATAGGGGTTCCTTGTATATTTTAGATATTAGCCTCTTGTCAGATACATGTTTTGCAAGTATTTTCTCCCATTCTGTAAGTTGCCATTTTACTCTATTGATTAATCACTTGGCTGTGCAGAAGCCTTTTGATTTGATGCAATCCTGTTTCTATTTTTGCTTTTGTTGCCTGTGCTTTTGGTGTCATATCCCCCTCCCAAAAAGGACCAGTGTTAAGAAGCTTTTCCCTATCTTTTCTTCTAGTAATTTTATGGTGTCAGGTCTTACATTTAAGTCTTTAATCCATTTTTTGTTTTTGTATGTGGTGTGAGATAAAAAGGGCCAATTTAATTCTTGTGTATGTGGATATCCAGTTTTCCCAACACCATTTATTGAAGAGCCTTTTTTTCACCAGACACCCTCAAAGATTTGTTGATCATAGATGAATGGATTTATTTTTTGGGCTTTCTAGTCTGTTGTCTATACGTCTGTTTTTATGCCAGTACCAGCTGTTGACTGTAGGTTTATAATATATTTTGAAATCAGCAAATGTGATGCCTCCAGTTTTGTTCTTTTTGCCCAAGATTGCTTTGGCTATTCAAGGTCTTTTGTGGTTCCAAATGAATGTTAGGATTATTTTTTCTATTTCTGTAAAGAATGGCAATGTCCAGGGAATTGTGAAGTAGGGATTACATTGTAAAGTACAAAGATCACTTTGGGTAGTAAGGATATTTCATCAGAATTCATTATTCCCATCTACGAACATGGGATGCCTTTCCACTATCTGCATCTTCTTTAATATCCTTACTTCCCATGATGCTCTGTGATGCTCACCTTCTTATTTTTTTAATTGTGGTAAATACACATAACATAAAAGCTAGCATTCTAATCATTTCAACAACTTTAAAGTATATAATTCAGTGGCATCAGTTTATTTTGCAATGTTGTGCAACTATCATCACTATCTAGTTTCAGAACTTAACATCACCCCCAAACCCTGTGCCCACTAAGGAATCACTGCCATTCACCCTGCCCCTGGCTCCTGGCATCCGTAATTTGCTTTCTGTCTATGGATTTTCCTGTTCTGGATATTCGCATAAATGGAATCATACAAGCTGTGACGTTTTGTTTCTGGAGTTTCTCACTTAGCATAATGTCTTCAAGGTTCCTCCATGTTTTAACATGTATCAGAACTTTGTTCTTTTTACAGCTGAATAATATTCCATTTTATGGATATTGCACATTTTGTTTATCCATTCGTTGTCTGACAGACATTTGAGTTGTTTCCACCTTTCAGGGAGTGAATACATACATATTGAATATGTATATATGTATATGTACATATATATATATACACATACACACATTTTTAGTAGACTACTTATTATAGCACTTTTAGGCTCACAGCAAAATTGCAAAGAAAGTACAGAGAGTTCCCATATGCACCCTGACCCCACAAACACACAGCCTCATGAGCTATTAACAACCCCTACCAACTGTGAAACATTTGTTACAATCAATGAGCATACATGACACTTCATTATCACTCAAAGTCCATAGTTTACTTTAGGGGTCAGTCTTGGTGTTGTACATTCTGTGGGTTTTGAAAAATGTATAAATGCCACGTATCCACCATTATAGTGTCATACAGAATAGTCTCACTGACCTAAAAAATCCTTTGTTTCCTGCCTCTGCCTCCTTCCCCACAAACCCCTGGCCACCACTGATCTTTGTACTGTCTCCACAGTTTTGCCTTTCCCATAACGTCATGCAGTTGGAATCATAGTTTATAGACTTTTCAGGTTGATAGCTTTCACTTAGTAGTATGCATTTTCCTTTGGGTTATTGTGAACAGTGCTGCTATGGAGCTCCTATATATTCTTAGGAGCAGAACTCATTGAAGACCGACTGGCCTCCTTCTGCCCATTCATTCTCCCCTTGTGCTCCTGTTCCTTAGAATCTGGTAGAGGCTGCTGAGGAAGCTGATCTGAACCATGAATTCAATGAATCTCTGGTGGTGAGTCCTTCTACTTCCAGAGCTGCTGCTGGGAGGGTATAAAGGCTAATCCTCAAACCCCCACCAAGGGCCAGGGTCCCCTGAGTACCAGAGTGGAGGGATGGGGAGAGATGGGAGGCCAGTGCTTTTTTTAATGTGCACAGGATTTGTATGAACCTACAATAATTTGATTCTGAAATGCTATTGATTCTTTTAAGAGGGATTTATGGGCCAGGTAGGAAAGATAATTACCAAGACCTGGGGCGTGGGGGGCATCGGTGTCAGGCTAGTCATCCCATAGACATTATTATGCAGCTGCAATGTTCTAGCCTCAGCACAGATAAAGTTGAGAGGCTGGGAGACTGAGTAACTCCAGTATAAGGCAATGTAACAAGCCCTTGCAAGCAGATAAACAATGTTCCAAGAATGTGGAGGGAAGGGGAGAAGAACTCAGAAGCCCCTGCGGACAGGCGGCATTAGGGCAGGGCCTTGGGCCTTGGAGGATGTGAGCGGGCAAAGGCACAAGAAAGGGTTTCTAGGCTGAGGGAAAGGAAGACACTGAAATAAGAAAGCAAGATTAAGGAAATTGTCAGGGGTCAGTCCTTTATGTCCAGGGGATTGTGAAGTAGAAAGTGACTGTGAAAAGGTAGGAATCTGGCACTTATTCAGCCATGGACGGTGCATATTGTAGGGCTTGAGAAGGGGAGGTACACAACCCTACTTGTGCTTTAGGAAGCTCATGCTGTCAGCAGCACTGGTGACATGGGGCAGGGTGAAGGGTGGCCTGAGGGGAATGCTCAAGATCTGAACCAGCTGGCACGGATGGAGGGGGAAGAGGGTCTGGGGATGGCTCCAGTGTGGCAACCCGAGTGGGCCCTCCAACGCTGCATGCAAGAGCCAGAGAGCCAACTTCTGGCTCCTCAGAGGCACACAGGACTCACAGGCCCTGCCTCAGACCCAGGCTGTGGGCAGTTTCCTAAAGAGAGAGGCCTCCTCTCTTAGGAACTCACCGTTCTGGGTTCTTAGGAGCCTTTCCACCCTGGAAGGATTGGTGGTGCCGGTGGGGCTGCCTCTGTCTCTGTATCTCTCCTTGAATCTTTGTCTGCCTGTGTCTGTCTTCACCTCTAGCAGTGTCCACACACCCTAAACAAAGTGGAGAGCTGAAGCAATAATCTGGACAGCTTACATAAAACAAGTAGTCAGCCATCCATTCCGGTGCTCCGGATATACTCGCCCCTGCCTCACGCCCCTCACTGCCTGCCTTCTCCACAGACGTTGCTTACACAGACGCTGTCAGTCTGGCTGGCCCTGTCTCTGAGGCCTGAACCCTCTGATGGCCGCCTTTTCTCTTTCTCTCTCACTCTGTGGGGCTCCTGTGCCCGCTCCCTTTCCCCCACCCATTCCAGTTTGACTATTACAACTCGGTCCTAATCAATGAGAAGGACAAGAATGGCAACTACGTGGAGCTGGGGGCCGCGTTTGTCCTGGAGGCCAACGCGCATTTCAGCGACCTGAGGGTGAACACCACCAGGAGCACGGTGCAGCTGCCCACCAACGTGTACAACAAAGGTACAGTGGGGGCCCACCCGGCGCCCAGCACACTCTCACCACTTGTCCGCAATCAGGGTGCAGCGGTCTGCCTCCATGTTCTCAAAAAGCTCTGCAGAGTGTAAACTGATCCTCCAATTTCCTTTACTGAAAAGGGAAAGAAAAATCATTCTACCCAAGCTTGGGCTGGGAGAAAACAGTGCTCCCAAGTCAAAGGGTGTGTGTGTGTGGTTCTCCAAGGAAGCTGGAGAGGCGAGTTGTGACCTATGTAAGCCGCGTGTCTGTCTGCGTGTGTGTTTATGTCAGTGTGTGTATGTGTATGTGTGTGTTTGGGGGGGTGTGCACATGCACTCAGCAGGTGAGGGATTGGTCCCTGTCACTTCTAACTGATTTCCCTGCCATTCCTTCTATAATCTCACCCTACAGGCCCAGATATTTTAAATGGGGTCTACATGTCTGAAGCCTTGAACCCTGTTTTTGTGGAAAACTTCCAGAGAGACCCAACATTGACCTGGCAATATTTTGGCAGCTCAGCTGGATTCTTCAGGATCTTTCCAGGTAAGGGCACTGGGAGGGATCTCTGTGATGCTTTCGGTTTCTTCTCTGGAAATAAGGCAGTGGAGGCATTGAAGAAGGACCCTGGCACTTAGACCCTCAAGGAATGAGCTTGGCCCTCCTACCAAAAGCACCTTCATCCCACACTTTGACACTCTGCACAATAGATAAGCACATTTTCAATAAAGAGCTATTGAATGAATGAATGAATGAATGAATGAATGAATGAAAGAAACCATCAAACACCACGAGAGCCAGTCAATAAATGCCCACATTGAACTCTTGTCCTAAGAAAAGCACTAGGGAAGATGCAATGGAGGATAAAATAATTCTTGATCTTGAAGTCACATCCTTATTGGAGAAATGGGGCATACTCACTTGAAATGTTCAACAGCATTGTAGGAAATGTCACAGGTTACTAAGTGATTAGTGGCCACCCTAACTGTGAGGAAAGTTCCCTTGTCCAGCAAGAAAATAGAAAACAAAAATGTGTACCACAAAACTTAGAGTTCTAACTTTTCTTACTTCCCATTAAGGCAGTTCACCTCCACATTTCACTCCAATCCATTTTCACATTTTAGCACAGGGTCTGGAAAGTCTTAAAGTTGCCTTGTTTTTCTGTGACAGGAAATCAGAAAGGTCCTGAGGACCGCACTGTGTCCCCAGCCTGCAAAGCCAGTCCCTCTCTAGGAGTGCAGAGGGACTTTAGAGCTCATGCGCTCTGATTGTCAGCATGTGCCTTGTTTCTCAGCCTGAACCCACACCTAGTGCGGTTCGTTTCCTGTTCTCTGGGGCCTTGATAAACAAGTTCACCCCCTAACATGAAGTGGCCTTTCAATTCTTGAAGACAACTCACTGTCCCTCAAGTGTTTTCCAGGGTGGGACTCCTGTGAATATCCCTGTCACATCAGGGCTTCCAGAGATGTCACCTGTGTGCAAAGGTCACAGTCCAGATGGGAGCCCATCAGTCCTAAAGAGGGGCTGTTTCTCACACCCACACCCACACTTGCAGATGCATTTCAGCCCTTGGGCAGAGTTATGGGGTCGCCATAATCCTTCATCATGGTGCACTATCCCCATGGAGCCATGCATGCCCACGTTTATTTATTTATTTGTTTGTTTGTTTATTTATTTTCTACTTTTTAAATATTTTGTTATCATTAATCTACAATTACATGAAGAACATTATGTTTACTAGGCTCTCCCCTACCCCAAGTCCCCCCCACAAACCCCATTACAGTCACTGTCCATCAGCGTAGTAAGATGTTGTAGAATCACTACTTGTCTTCTCTGTGTTGCACAGCCCTCCCCTTTCCCCCACCCCCACATTATACATGCTAATCATAATTACCCCCTTTCTTCTTCCCCACCCTTATCCCTCCCTACCCTCCCATTCTCCCCAGTCTCTTTCCCTTTGGTAACTGTTAGTCCATTCTTGGGTTCTGTGAT